CATTTATTGACTCTCTCCTATGTGCCCAGTGCTTTTTTAAGACTTCTTTTATTATTATTATTTTTATTTTTATTTTTAATTTATTTTATAAAAATAATAACATGCTATCCCTCCAACCTTGCCAAGGGCGGGTGGAAAACCAACTGAGTTTTTCTTGAGTTGTTTTCCAAGGAGTAGATATGAGTTATAAACCGAACACATCTTCCGGGCAAAACAGTCGGAGTGGTTTTCCAGCAGGCCAGACAGCTGTGAAGGGTTTACCATAGAGGAGCCCAGAGGCTGAGAGAGAAAGCCTCCAGGACCCTACAAAAAGCTGCCCAAAGTGCCTTCTACATGGCACTACTGAAATAGGAAAGAACAAATCTTACTCCATATTAGATCTGTTCGTTTGACTTTAAACCTGTGCCCTTTTTCCTAGGTTTAGTCTTGTTCGTTCTGCACCTTTTGTAAAACAATGTTGCCTAAAGCCTGAAATATACAGGAGACCCTATCCTCAAGGCTCTGACTTTAAAGGAAATTAACACTTTTCCATTCGTATAAAGATAACAAGTTACAAAATAGAAATAACATTTGTTTTTTGGAGGTTTACACGGATCTGACCCAGGTGAAGAGCTGCAAGAACAAAAGATTCTAACAACAAAGAATTCATAAACGAAGTTTGCAACAACCAAGCATTCCTGCTTCCCCTTTTTAATATAAAAAGATCCTGAATTCTGACTTTGGGAGATGGTTTTCCAGGACATTTGACTTCCATCTTCTCATCTGGCTTTCCAAATTATAGTTGCTATTTCTTGCCGCAAAACCTGCTCTCCCGATTTACTGGCCTGTAATGCACAAGCAGAACAAGTATGAACTTGGAAAGACAAACATACATTGAAAGTACCCATTTGGTATTTTAAATGACCTGCTTCCACTCGTCTTCCTGACGTTTTCTTCTCTTGACAACTCCTGCTATGTGTATGAAAACCCTGCCATGTGGACACATTTACATCTCTAGCCACTACCCTTCCAGGTAAGAACTGATGCCAAGAAGTCAATGGAAGTTGCTAGAATGTATTACCTGGCCAGAAAAGAGCAGAAGTGGGTTCTGGCTGATGTTCAGGAGCAGGCTGGGACACCTGACAAGATGTCATATGTACGGATAGACAGCTGAGCACCAAAGGAGAAGCTTCTAAGCCTCCATAAGGGACTTGTTGGATAGGAAGGAAAAGTCCCAGCCTATAGCTCTGATCCCACCACAAGCTTCCTGGGCGAGGCTGCACAAGTCACTTAAATTCTCTAGGCCCGTGCTGCCCACCATGGGAGCCACCAGCCACATTCAGGATTATGAAGTTATTCTGTAGCCAGACAGAATTATAAATACACATTTTATTGCAAAAGTTCAGCAAGTATAATATTTAAAAACATTATTGGTTATCTTGCCCTAACGAGTTATTTTTGTATGTCTAGCTTTCTGTGGTTTGCAAAGCCTGCGACTAATGTTTCCCTTACAGTGAGGTATTTTGAAATTATAAGTTACTGGACACAGTACCCTCATATCACACTTGAAAAAAATTGATCCACATAAGCAATGTGATCTGACTTAGTAGTTATGAGCAGGGGCTCTGGGGTCAGCCTGCCTGAGTATAAATTCTCACTCTGCCTCCAGGGGGTTCTGTGTGAATCTTGGAAAAATTA